CTCTCTGACTGCGTATTAGTCTTAAGCTAAATGACACCCATTCTTCAAGCTCTAGCCTGTATACCTCCTCCCGTGACAGTCCACTTTTGTCCATGCCCAGAAGGACATCCCGCTGTAGTACGATGGCTTCTAGCACCCAATGTGACATTTACTTGTTTCCCAGCCTGCACAGTGACTCACTTATTCTTTCATAGATGTGTGTCGTGTCTTCTCAATTCGAATTTAATCTTCCAAACAAGGGGCATAGAATTAGGCAGCACATATTGCCTTTATATTATCTCTTCAGCAGTATTTATCCCATTGCTGCACACATAAATAAATGCGTGGGTAATTGGGAATTAACTGTACTCGTCCCTAGCCACATGCACACCACAGTGGGAACAGGCACCAACTCCACACTCAGGTATTTGCTGCTCCTACGAGGCAGGGGCAACCGTTTCCTTCTTGGGAGCTGTGTGACTGATGCCTCTGGGCGCCACAGGGCGTGTCAACTGACAGAGAAACAGAGGAGCGTAATTACAGTAGGTATGCGGGATCGCAACCCAAGTGAGTGGCAAATTAAAGTCATGCAGCGTGAAGCTGTGAAAGACAGGCCACTATACATTTGAATCTTTTCAGGATGGAAATTTTCCCCGTTTAATCCCAGCCCTGCAGTCTGTAACTCATGGTCACGCCCAGGAGATCAAGAGCACGTGTCTGCGTTCTTTCCATAGCCCCCTTCCCTTACACTAGCAATCCTGTGGGAGATGAGCGTGCAGGCGCGAGTGAGATGAGGGTGCGGGCGTGAGAGAGCAAGCGGGTGACTTTGCTTTCAAGCCATCAGTGCCACTCTCTTCCTATTATGCCTNAAGAGTGAGATGAGGGTGCGGGCGCGAGTGAGATGAGGGTGCGGGCGTGAGAGAGCAAGTGGGTGACTTTGCTTTCAAGCCATCAGTGCCACTCTCTTCCTATTATGCCTGATTCTGTCATAGTCACCACTACTGTGAGCCACTTTTAATGTGAGAAATGGGCCTATCCCTACCTCTCTTAGGGCAGATGAAAAGTTGCAAATCTTTGTCACACATTCTTCAAGATTCGCTGTAAATGCTTCGTCTGCAGACTCTTCCTAGACTTTCGCTCTTCCCCCCCTTTCTTCATCCAGCGCAAGGTTCCCTGGAGTCGGCAGCCACGGTCGGCTGAAACCCGAATGGCATGGTGCGGTTGGATGAGAGGGAGTGGTTTATTTTCTTATCTAAATTTGGAACTTTTAAGTGTGCGCCCCAAGACTTCATCTAGTTTGAAAACTGCAAAAGAAAACTGAAAAGGGATTAAGAAATACAGAGAAGTAGGAACTGTTTTGCCAATGTGATAGCCAGGAAAGAAAAACACACCTTTCAAATATTTGTTAAACAATTAGTTCTAACTGTCGCCTTATAACCAACCTTGATCCTTAATGAGTTGGAATTATTAACATTATTAAATTGTGAATGACAGAAAACTGTGAATAGGAAGAATTTCCCAAATAAAAGTAAGCTTTAATTACAGGTTTAATGTATGATTTTGAAATAAAGTATATAATTCTATTTATAGGATATTGGTTTCTTTCCACTGCCATTAAATAAATGTTGAACAAGCATTTAAAAAATTTTTAGTCTGTGCAGGGCACAAACACCTGTGTCAGGTGTTTGTAATGGCCCGTGAGCACCTTTGACCCGACTGTACCTGTACATAGTTGGTATTTATTCAATGAATTTTCTTGAATGTGTGAATACGTGAATTATTGAAATGAAATAGGTCTATACGACTTTGATAGGTAGCGTTCCTCTCTCTAATTTGATAGTTTTTTTGCTGCCTGTGTTTGTCCTGGATGAGTGCGTGTGTATATTACCTGAGCAAATGATCTTAATTCCTGTTATGCGTTGTTATTTATCCCCAAGATGCATCTATCAAAGTCCTAACCTTTTGTACCACAAAATGTGACCTTATTTAGAAATAGGGCTGTTGTAGATGTAATTAGTTAAGATGAGGGGCTGTTGGAATATGGAGGGCCCTAATCCAGAATGCCTGGTGTCCTTATAAAAAGGGGAAATCTGGATAAGCCATGTACACAGGGAGAGCACCATGAGAAGACAAGCCAGAGGTCAGGGCGATGCTTCTACAAGCCAGTAAATGCCACAGATTGTTAGCAGACCATCAGAAGCTCGGGAGAGGCATGGAACAGATTGTTTTTCACAGCCAACAGAAGGAACCCACCCTGCTAACACCTTGACATTGAGCTTCTGGCCTCCAGAACTGTGGGGCTGTTGTTTAGACCACTGAGTTTGTGGTACTAGCTTTCGGCAGCCCTAGTACTTCATATGATTCCCATCACTCAAGGAAAGTAGGATAGACTCGTGGTTGAGATGGAATGACTCAGATTTTTTCTTCATTTTGTCTGGGACATTGTCTGATTACAGCACTACTTTTAAACTGCTGTGGGTTTTAAGAATTGAAGCCAAAGGTGGTGTATGTACTTAGGTGGACTGGGTGCTCTTGAGGTTTTGAGGTCGTGTGTTTAACAGCACAGTTTTATTTTCTATGTACAGTTGTTTCAAAATGTTCTAGTATTATATATTTTTAGGAAGTGCGTATGAAGCCTAGATACTTTGAAGTCTTTGGTAATTTTAGTTATGATTAATCTGATAAAAGTAGGAATGTTGGCTGGTAATTTTCCTTAGTCTTCCTGGAAATATACCATTTCATATTTTTTATCAGCATGAATAATTTTATGGACTGTGATGTTTAACAGTGCAGATAATATGCACCTGAAATGTATTTTTAGCACGCGTGGTCGAAGGTCTGGGGAGCCTGAAGAACAACTAGTACCGTACATCACAAACCAGTTTTAAAAGTACCCTGAGAACACTTGGTTTTTTGAGGGTTATGATTAGTGAGCATAGATCTCACAGAGGCTTCTAAGACTTCTTCCAACATTGAAAAAAATAAAGCCCACCCTTCCCATTATACTTTGAAAATAATAGAAGAATGTGTGCATTGAAAGGCTTTGGTATCCCAGAAAATGTCTAGCCTGCAATGGGAATAAACAGGCGCCCCTCTTATTGGTGCATGTTTAAGACCTCAACACTTAGTATTAAAAAATAGTAAGTTCCATTCCTGGCCGGGTGGCTCGGCTGGTTGGAGCATTGTCTGTACACCAAAAGGTGGTGGGTTTGATCCCCGGTGGGGTCGTGTATGGGAGGCTTCTCTTGGACATCAATGTTTCTCTCTCTGTTTCTCCCTCTCCCTCTTTCTCTAAAAATCAATAAACGTATATCCTTGGGTTAGGATTAAAAAAAAAATTCCCATATGTTGTGATTTTTTACTCTGGAGCTCTTGTTAGAACTTGTGATAGTGTACATTATACTCGGTGACTATTAATTCACTCCACAAGGACCAGGGCATGTCCCAGATTTTCTAAATGACACATTTCGCTGTATACTTTAGGTAATATGCTTATAATTATTTTGTTGTTATTTATTGTCTAGGTCTTTTTACCAGGTCGTTAGGTATGTCTTCTATGCTGTGTGAAATAATAACCAGAAATATAAAAAGATTATTAAATAAGATCATCTGATCCAACAGCTTGTCTTCTTGAGGAAAGGTCCTCAAATTTTAATCATGTTTTAAAAGACTTCAAGACTGTTTTAAAAGACTTCAAGAATGCTTATCCATCACCAGGCCCTGCGCCTCAGTCCCGCGTCTAGAGGGCCATGTCGGGGAGAAGAAGCTTGCTCACCCGCTCAGGGCAGCTGAGCTTGACAAAAGGCTTGTGTTGCCTCCGTCTGATGAGGGACTTAACTTTTCTCACAGTCTTTCACATCAGATCTGTTCTCGATGGTATGAAGATGCTTTTGCTCTCTTTAAGTTAGGCTGTGTAGGTCTGCAGTCAATAAACACCCAAGCGGGTATCTGAGACATTTTATTCCGGTCCATTACGAAGAGTCTGGAGGAGGCAGTATTTCTGGCTCATCGGTTCAGTGATATCATCAAGGAACAAGTTTCTTTGTTTTTTTCTGTTCCTCGGCACATTAATTTTTACCCCCCCTCTATTGCTTCATGGTGGCAAGGAGGCTGCTGAAGTTTTAAGAATTACTATAACACACCATCAACCCAAATAGCAAGAAATTAAAAAGAGACATTAAAGCCATGATTGGGAAGACTTACCATGGTTCAGTCCTTGGGGATGGGTACACGGTCAACTCAGACCCAACTGGGCTTCTGTGAGCAAGAAGGAAGGGAGACAATGCCTGTTGGGGAGGCAGCTAACCTTGTCTGCTACGTGTAATCCTTCCCTCTTAACTGTGGGATATAGCGGGGCTGCATAAACGCTCCACCTTGGGGTTTTACTTCTGCTATGACTGTACCCAGAGTCATCTTTTTTCTTCTTCCTTCTTTGCACTTGACTTTCCATAATTTAACCTTCCCTTCTCATTGGCTCCTCCCCAACACCAACCAGTGGGTTTAAGCAAATCTTCTCATTGGCCCTCCCCAACACCAACCAATGGGTTTAAGCAAATCTTACTATATATTTTCTATTATATGTTTGGTTGAATGATGTAAAAATACTAATATTAACATATTTTTCCTACAATAATTTCATGATTTAATGATTCAAACAAATAATTTGGGATTCATGGAAAATGAATAATGATTATGGATAGTAAGTGAATAAAAGCTGCCTAAAGCTACCTGAGAATGTTTTTAACAATGGAAAAAAACTATCTAATTTACAACTTAAACCAATGAAAGATTCACATCAGACATTTACACTTAGGGTAAAGTAAAGAAAAAGCCATCTGCTAATAACATTTAATCACATTCCTAAAGACTGAGGAGACAAGGTGGACAAGATGTCCATTTTTATTTCTTAAAGTTGAGTAAAATAATCTAGTCACGTCCTGCAGAGAGAGAAAATATATTACCCTGTGACTTTCTTTAATAGTGTGAACTTCTGTTTACCTTATGCTTTCTCTCTGGCCTAGTTGGGAATATCACAGCTGCACATATATTGAAAAAGATATGGAACTCATAGAAGAAGAATTAATCTTCCTACATTTAAAATTAAAAAGAGATGAATGGAAAAAGCCAGCACAGAGGGGAAGGACAAGATGAGGATCTCCAATGCCCGAACATGGAGAAGATCCAGCACTTTGCAGGGAGCCACAGCCAGGCTTTGTAACAGGAGAGGAAGTCATCTGGAAAATGGCATTTCTCACACACCGGCTGTAAGTCAATCTCCTGGGTAAGCGTATCAAGTTAAACAACACTTGCAGGTCTCTCATTTCTATGAATGTAATAAGATTCCAGCAATAGAATCATTCTTTTGTTCAGTAGTTTCCCACCTGCTGCTCGAATCCTACTAAAGTCGCCTCTCCAAAGTCTTGCCCACCAAGTTTCATCTGCTTAGTCCCATATGTCCCTTTGGTGGGCAAAATACTGTAGATCAGTAGGAACAGAAGTCACCCTGAGGTGCAGCCAAGCAAGAAATAAAGCTGAGCTGTGAGCACTGAAATGTAGGTCAGTTAACAGCTGGGCAAGGAGAGTGTGAGAACTTTGGAAGAAGTTAAGAAATGGGAGGAAAGAAAGAGAACCGAATACGGATACATAAATGATAACAAAAAGAAATGAAGGTTTTCACAAAATAAGGAAGTAAAAAACCAACACACAAGAAAACAGCGAAGTAGGAGCAACACATTACGCGAGCTGGGAAAAGGAAGATTACAGTCCTGGCTTCACCAACTCTTCTTGTAATTTTGAACAAGCCACTTAATCTTTACCTTTTAAAAATAACATTTTTGAAATATCATTTACATCCCATACCATTCACCCATCTAAACTATACAACTCAATGCTTTGCAGTGTGTTCACAGAAGTCTACAATGACCACAATCTAATTTTATAGCATTTCATAACCTCAAAAAGAAACCACATATCCATTAGCAGTCACTCTTATTTCCTTCCCCAACCCTCACAACCATTAAGCTACTTTCTGTTCTTATTGATTTGCCTGTGCTGGATATTTTATATAAATTTAACTTAGTGTAATGTTTTCAAGGTTCATCCATATTGTAGCATGTATCAACAATGTTCTTTTTTATTGCTGAACAATATCCCATTATAGAGATATACCACATTTTATTTTTCCATGTATCAGTTGGTAGATGTTTGAGTTTTTCCCTCTTTTTATAGATAATGCTGCTATAAGCATTCCTGTAAAAGCTTTTGTAAGCTACTGAATTTTGCCATGACCTAATCTGTAAAACAAGACTAAGAGTTTATACTCTGTGTTTCTACTTTTGAGGAAATCTTCATTTTAGATTTCTAATTGATTTATGACCTGGGTATTGTAGACTACAACATAGATATGGTTTTGGCTGATATTCCTAGTAAAACAATTAGCAATAGAATATTTTACTTCCCACTTTTAGTTAGCAAATAGATGAGAGTTCTTTAAATATTTGTTAAGTAATAGGCCATTTATTTTGCTTTGACATTCATTTATTCATCCATCCATCTATCCACCCATTCATCAAATATTTACCAAATGCTTACGAGTGTCAATAATATGCAATTTCCATAAGACACATAATGGTGAATAAGAAAGAATGTCTCCACTTTGCTCTCCCACAGTAATGGATGTAGGACCTAACAGCAACAGTGTGGGACAAATTATTTATCATTTCAGTTCCAGCCAAAATCACTTTTGATTTTTAAACTGTAAAACACTGAATGATTTGGTGAAGAATTTGGATTCTAATTGCAACTTGGTTTTGGCAAACCAAGCTATATCTTAAGCTATTGTCCTTAAATAAGTTCCAACCATAAAAAAAAACACATTTTCCAATTACTTTAGAAAAGTCATCTGTTAAGTGGCCAAAAATTTCAAGATCATTCCAATAAATCACATAATAGAGGCAGTCTTAAATTGTAGAGAATTGTCTTGCATAATTAATTTGGTTCAAAGGCAAATAATCTATATCATTTTCTGTAACAATCAGGCATCTTTAATTGAGTACTGGTACTCTGTTCTTAGGGGACCTTTTTCCAATTTGAGCAGTCACAAAATTCAAAATGTCAGTTTCAATCAGTCTTCTGTGGGGGCTTAAATATTGAACTTCCATTATGAATTTGTCTTTCTGTACAATTGGAACCAGTGTCTCTATAAGTAAAAACTGAGAAGTGTTTTCCAATTTTAATTTGCCTTATTATTTATAGATATAATGCTTTACTTCTGAGTCCAAAAAATAAACTACCAAAGATTTTTATTTTTGTGTATGCAGCAATACATTTGTCAAGTAGTTGACCTTAAAATTTTTCTGTCGTGGTTAAATAAAAATAATTATAAAACTTACCGAAGATAATGGTAGTGCTTAGAAATAGAACTGGCTTCCGTTGTAACTGCTGATGTGTTTTCAATTATAATTTAAACATACTCTTTCATCCATGGAGGCTTTAAGTTCTCTCTATTTTTGCTATTTATATGAAAACAGTGACTTTGTGTTTTTTTGTTTACTTGTGTATCTTCAGAGTCCAGAGTAGTGTCTGATAGTACTTGTTCAATTGATAATTTTAAAATTAATACCTTAAAAGTTTTCTGTAGTTTTAGTCTGACCTTTGTCATACAGTTCTTGTATAAGTAAAATGAGACAAAGCTCCTAAAGGAACTTAGTATAGTACTTAGCACATAATAACTACTCAATAAATGATAGCTTCTATTTTTATGAGTGAAAGGGATTATTAATCTCTGTAATAAGAGGAGGAGCTCTCTGTAAATCTATGTATTACAGATTCCTAGAGAGTTATCAAAACAAATAAAAAACAATACACATGTCATATTTCCAACTTTAAATAAAACATTAATTTCATTTCTTATTTTTTTTGCCTTTGGCAACCTCAAAGAGATTTCTGAGGAGATCCTATGGTAATATTTTAATGCTAATTTTTTAGGGTAGATATTCAAAACTTCTACTTGGACAGAATTAATTATATTAGATCAAGTAATTTATAATATTTACGTGATTCCACACAGTCACACGTTCAGTCAAAGTAGTCACCAAATAAATTGACTGAGTTTATCTGGCTAGCATACACCACCCTATATTTTCCCTATTGGAGAATCTATAAATAAATAATTTGTAAAACTAATCTTTTTAAATGTTTTTGCCAGCAAACTTTAAAGCATCTTTATTTGAAATGTTTCTGCCAGTAAAATTTAAAACATCTTTCTAGAGCTTTAAATACTGGGCATGTTATGATCAGTTATAATTAAATTTATTTTTAGTTTGGGAAAAAAGTGTTAGAACTTAAAACTATAAAGCCTGCTTTCTGATAACATCTTATATATGGTGAAACTCAGTGTTCTGTGCGTTCCACTTGGGCATATGCCCTCAACAGGAATGGGTTACCAGCAGGAAGGACCAGCTTGGAACTTCACAGTGAGTGAGCATTGATTCGAGCTCCGTGTGTGTTTAACATGGCCCCAGAGCGTGGTCAAAAACACCTGCTGAATGAAAGAATCTTCCAGCCCTGGAGTGGGGAGAATGATCTTTAGCAAATGTGAGTGTTTTTTGCATGTGGCAGGGAACTTTGAAAATATCATTTAGTCCTAAATACACAATGCAATGTGATGTGTTTGTTTAGCATTTTGTCTCTTTCATGAAAAACTGGCCATACCTTGTGGTGAGTGGTAACAGCTCCAAACAAAAGCATCAACCTGTTGCTATGGTTCCCTCCCATGTGCAACATGTGCCTATTCTTGCAGCCCATCTTCAGAAAGCTGTAAATCTAAGTGCCCAGATCAGTATATTGCTTCTCTTTTTCATCTAGCACAAATAAAAAAGTGTCATGAGAGCAGAGAAATTCCCGTTTCCAAACAGTTCAGTGAATATATTTTCTTTGGAAAAAAGGAAATTGAACTGTGGCCAAACCTTTTTCCTTTTTTTAAAAAAAAATATATTTTATTGATTTCAGAGAGAGAAGAAGGGAGAGGGAGACAGAGAGAGAAATATCAATGATGAGAGTCACTGATCGGCTGCCTCCTGCACGCCCCTGCTGGGGATGGAACCCGCAACCCGGGCATGTGCCCTGACTGGGAATCAAACTGCGAGCTCCGGGATCATAGGTTGATGCTCAACCGCTGAGCCATACCAGCCGGCCCTTTTTCATTTTTTGTTTCTTGAAAGCATCCTGTTGTTTGATGTGCATGATGATCACTGAGACTACTTCGGGGGCCAACGGAATAATGGGCTCACTTAGCAGAGCCTGGATATTTATTTGATTTGACAAAGCAAAAAATATCAATTTTGTCTCCATAGCCTTTGGTTACAGTTTGTGTGGGAGAGACTTATCTATGATGTATTATGTCTAGACAGTGTGGTGGTTGCTTTCTATACCAAATGAAAGAAGAATGGTTAAGTCTGCCAGATGCCATTTTCATTCAATTATTATGGTACCTCTCTTAATACAAAGTTAGGTGACAATTATCTCATGGGTTCCTATCAGCTCTACAATTTAATTTCCAAATGACTCAATGATTTCACCTTAAATCTATAGCACTTAAAAGAATTTCTAAATTAACACTTGAGAAATAACTTCCACATTTATTTGTATAAGGTAGAGATCACCATATGAACTAATAGATGGATCATAGATTCATATAGGTTGGAGAAGAGAAAAATTATACATTTTAATGCCTTTTAAGAGACTGTAATTTATTGGTTTAGTGCATGGGCTTTGGATTTTTGGGCTGCCCTGGGTTGAGATCCCGGCTTGGTATATCAGTTAACTTTCTTTGATTGCAACAAAATAAATTTTGGCCAACTTAAGCAAAAAGGAAATTTATTGGCAAACTGTCAAGAAATAACAAATTTGAAGATTGGAGAACCACATCCTTAAAAAGGCAGAATCCAATAGTTTTAGGTGGGGCAAATAAGCAAGAAACTAAAGGAAATTTCTCAAGATAGAAACAGTCATATCAGTGTGCAGCTTCTGAATGAACGAGGCCTCACCATTTTTTAAAGCCTTACACCACTTCTCAAGGGTCAGTGTCCCAGAGGAGTGGCTGAATTATGTCCCCCTCTCAGTACCAATCTGGTGGGAAGAAGGATCTGGGCTTTCAATTTTTATAATGCAAGTCAACTATTTTGCTACCTATTAAGACTATTCTTAATGAATGAGATATGATTCCCCAAAAGGAAATTGGAGTGCTGTGGGAAAGGGACAGCGGATGCTGGGGGCCAAAAATCTCAAGTGCACATTCTGCTTGGCTACTTACTAGATATGATACTTAATATTTCTAGCCTCAGTTTTCTTATCTAAAAAATGTTGATAATAACAACTCCTCCATTATTGAATTACTGTGATTATTAAATGAGGTAATATTTGGAAAATTCCAGGTACATTGTATTCACTCAATAAATACTGGCTAGCACAATTATTATACAGTTTTTACAGTTCGTCCACATACATACATGTGGATGAACTTCTTTAAATCCTCACACTATCCCTGTAGGTAACTGTAATAGGTTTTAGTATCCTTATTTTATGGATGAGAAACCTACACTTGAAAGGCATTGCCCAAAGCCTAAAGCCTGGTGTTCTCCCAAATCCCCCGTGTTTCCTTCTGTGGAATTGTTAAAGAGA